TCTGCTGTTTTGGTAGCTAGAGGTTTCCAGTTGTATTTTATGGTAGTATTTCTGTGCCTATCCTTCCCAAGGTCCAGCCATGGAAAATAATAGAAGAAAATTATATTACTGGTATTGTCAGTATAAATTAAACTTGTAGCAAACAATCCAGTATTAAAGGTCTCAATGATAACATCTACAAAGAATGGATGCTGTTTTATCAAAGATTGAGGGCAGTGGTGTAAGTTGGTGAGGACTCTTGGCCCTTATTAATAGTATTTCAAGTATAACCTTCGTGTAGCCACCAAATTTCTTTTGTCTCTTTGGGAAAGTCTGGGTCAAGGTCATGTTGTCATACACTTAGCAGAGACCACACCTTGTCTATTCACTGGAGGCAGTGAATTTTGGGCTATTTTTTAAAGTATATTTTATTGATTATGCTATTACAGCTGTTTCAATTTTTTCTCCTTTGCCCCCCTCCATCTGGTACCCCCCTTTCCTCCAGCGATCCCCCCGCTTAGTTCAGGTTCATGGGTTGTTCATAGAAGTTCTTTGGCTTCTCCATTGCCTTTACTGTTCTTAATATCCCCCTATTTTGTACCTACCAGTTATGCTTCTATATCCCTATACCTTTTCCCCCATTCTCTCCCTTCCCCCTCCCAACTGATAACCTTCCAAATGATCTCCATATCTATGATTCCATTCTTGTTCCAGTTGTTTGCTTAGTTTGTTTTTTGTGTCTTAGATTCAGTTGTTGGTAGTTATGAGTCATTTTAATTCATTTTAATTCATAGTTTTGATCTTCATTTTCTTAAATAAGACCCTTTAACATTTAATATAATAAGGGTCTGGTAATGATGAACAGCTTTACTTTGTCTGGAAGCACTTTATCAAGCACTTCAATTCTAAATGATAGCTTTGCTGGATAGAGTAATCTTGGTTGTAGGTCCTTACTTTTCATCACTTTGGATACTTCTTACCAGTCCCTTCTTGCCTGTAAAGTTTCTTTTGAGAAATCAGCTGATGGTCTTATGGGAATGACTTTGTAGGTAACTCTCTTTCTTTTTCTTGCTGCTTTTAAGATTCTCTCGTTATCTTTAAATTTTGGCATTATAAATATGATGTGTCTTGGTGTGGATCTCTTTGGGTCCAACTCATTCAGGACTCTGTGCTTCCTGGACTTGTATGTCTATTTCCTTCACCAAATCTGGGAAGTTCTCTTTCATTATTTTTTCAAATAACTTTTCAATTTCTTGCTCTTCCTCTTTTCCTTCCGGCATCCCTATGATTCGGATGTTGGCCCTTTTGGGGATGTCCCAGAGTCTTCTTAAACTCTCCTCATTTTTTTTGAATTCTTGTTTCTTCATTTTGTTCTGGTTGAATGTTTATTTCTTCCTTATGTTCCAAATCATTAATTTGAATCCCGGCTCCTTCTCTTCACTGATGGTTTCCTGTGGATTTTTCTTTACTTCCCTTAGTATAGCCTTCATTTCTTCCGTTATGCTTTTGCCGTATTCAGTGAGATCTTTGAGCATGCTAACGGTCAGTGTTTTGAACTCTGCCTCTGATAGGTTGGCTATCTCTGCATCACTTAGTTCTTTTTCTGGGTTCTGTTCTATTCCTTTATTTGGGCCATATTTTTTGTCTCCTCATTTTAGCAGCCTCCCTGTGTCTCTGTACTAGGTTTGATTTCCTGTCTTAGCATCCCTGTTAAGTTGTATGCGGTGGGGACTTGGGTATTTACCAGGGCAAAGCAACCTGCTTCGCTGCTTTGTGGCTCAGCATGTCGGGGAGGGGTTGAAGCGGGAACAGTGCTGCTGCTGGCTGACTATTGGAGGCTTGCCTGGTACTTGCCTCTTTTCCAGTCACTTCACCTACTTCCTGGATGCGGCCGGTGCCCCTCCAGCTGCTGTCCTGGTTGTGGTTCCCAGAGTGGGTGGGTTTGCATACATTCCAGGCTGTCCTGAGAAACCAGCAGTTTCTTCCTCTGCCCCAACCCCGACTGGGTTTACAGCTAGAAATTATGAGTCTTTATTTTTCTGGTGCTGGGATTTGGGCTGTGCTCTCTGGGTTGGGACTTGGGTCCCTTGCTCACAATGTGTCCCCTGGTTTTTATCCACCACACGTGAATACGGGACCGTTCATTCCACCAGCCACTGCCGCCACACTGTGTCCTCCTGCCCAGGCTCCCCATCTCCACCCCTCGTACCCGTCTGGATGAACAGAGCTTCTCTAAATCCTTGGCCGTTGGACTACTGTGCAGTTCTGGGTGTTTTTCTAGGTGGTTTTCTGGAAGTTTATTTCTAAGTTAGTTGTGTTCCTTCTTATGGTTGTGCAATGAGGCTAAGTGTGTCTTCCTATGCCTTCATCTTTGAGCTATTTTTAAATTGAAGGCTTTGCTTGAGAACATATGGATTATCCCCCCCCCTCCTCCCTTTTAAAAGTTATGTTTTGCTACAGGTAATGTACTACATAAAAATAAAGTGTGCTTTTAACAAGCAAATATTGTCGCATATTTTCCATAGTTAACTGTAATGCAGTTGATTATTTGCAGCAACCAGTTCTTTCCATTGAAGTTTTTATCGCCTTGAAACTTATTTTAGATTTGTTTTTCTTGCTTGCTTTAGAGTTTACCTGATTTTGATTCTTCACATAAACCACATACATGCTGTAAAGGGTCTTCATGGGCATATTGTTGTTTTTTAACCTGAGTCCATAGGAAACAGGAAATTGCACATTCAAAAATATGGCACTTAAAATTTTTATTGTTTTGATGGTCACTACAGAGTATAATGGTCAATGTACATTTTTACAGACTTGAAAATTCATGTCAGTAATCTTTCATGCGCTTAACTATTAATATTTTATCTCCTGTCTAATCCTTAAACTAAGGGAAAAATAGTCATTACCTACAGGAAAGTACTGGATATTTATAACAAAATATCATTTTTCCATTAAAAAGCATGTTTAAGGAACAAAAATAATAGAGGCATTTTAAACTTTTAAATGACTTTGAATATATTTATAGCTTAGCTTCCCTATTTTTTGTACATGTCCAACCAAAAATGATGTTGTCCGTGGCATACACAGTACCTTGCTTTCTCAGTATGAATTTAATGGACTTTGATGCTGTTAAGATGCTTTGGGATTTTATTCTTTCATTCATTTAGCCACATAATATATATATAGCATGGAGCTGGACCCCTCAGACCCTGAAGAAACTTGGTCCTCGCGTTACCACAGAAAGCACAAAGAAGGGAGGGAAGGAGCTCCTTCTCTATTACACATGGTATTTAAGTGTTTATGGAATCAATATTTGTATATAAATTAATTATATATGTACCATAATAAAAATACAGCCCTGACTCAGTTGGAGTATTGTCCCATGCACTGAAATGTCACGGGTTCGATTCCTGGTCAGGGCACATATCTAAGTTGCGGGTTCTGTCCCCAGTTGGGAGCCTATAAGAGGCAGCCAATCAATGTTTCTCTCTCACATCAGTGTTTCTCTCCTCGCCCTCACTGTCTCCTCTCTTTCCAAAGGCAATGAAAAAGTATCCTTGGATGAGGATAAAAATTAAAAATAAAAGTACAGTGAAATGCTTTGAAAGTTCAGATTAGAAAAGTAAACTTTTTGCTTGAGAATCAGGAAAGAACAGTCCTTTGAGGATTTCAAGAGATGGAAAGAATTAACGCAAACATGATAGAAATAGCTTTCCCGCTAGGAGAAGGGCAAGAAGAGGAGAAATGTCACAGCAAAACAAGAAGCTTGGCTGTATCTATGTCACAGGCAAGGTTTATTGGAAAGTAAAATTAGAAGGTTAGCCCTGAATACCAAACTAAAGATTTATTATTTATTCCAAAGCTGTGGAAAGTCAGTGGAGGTTTTTATGTTGGTTCTTACATATTTTTGTATTGTTTTCAAGTATACAGCTTAATGATTAGGTAATTGTATACTTTATATAGTGTTCCCCTCGATATTTTTCAGTACCCCAACTAGCACCATACAGTTATCACAATATTATTGGCTATATTTCCTATGCTGTCTTTCTATCTCCGTGACTATTCTGTAACTACCAACTTGTGGTTTTTAGTACCTTTGCCTCTTTTACCCATTGCCCCAACTGCCCCTCACCTCTGGCAACTACCAGTCCTCTCTCTGTATCTATGAGTCTGTTTCAATCTTGTTTGTTCATTTATTTTGTTCCTTATCTTCTGCATATAAGTGAAATCATGTTGTATTTATCTTTCTCTGATTTATTTCACGGAGCACAATACCCTGTAGGTCCATCCTGTTGCAAACAGTAAGATTTCATTCTTTATTATGACCAAGGAATATTTTATTGTATATATGCCACAGCTTTTTTATCCACTCATCTCTTGAGCGGCACTTGGGTTGCTTTCATAGCTTGGCTATTATAAATAATGCTGCCATGAGCTGAGGGTTTGAGTGAGGTATTCAAACTGATAGTTGAGGAGGAAAAACGTGGCAGGGGCCCCGTGCAGTGGAGGGTAGGCTGTCTGTGAAGAAAATGGTTGGAAGGCAAAGGTGAGACTAAGACAGGGGGGCCTACTGAGAGCTCTCAAAGATTGAGTCAGCTGATGAGGCAACCACCAGCACGAAAGTTGAAGGAAGCAGAAGAATCAGAAGTGATGCCAGATACAAAAACCTGAGATCTTAGCTTCTCCCCATGCTGCTCCATGGAAGGTCATTTTCCCTCGTCCCATTCTCCATCTACAGTAGAAAGTTTATAGAAGTAGGGAAGATGGAGATATAAAGAGCTTGAAGTACTAGTCAGACAAATGTGTTGGTTGCCATAAAAAGAATGGTGATATCTTTTCTCCTGCACTGATGTTCTTAAAATACTGATAGTATTTTTTTAAGCTAGTGCTTTTGTAATGTCTTATTTTGAAGCACCATCTCTTAGGAGCTCAAAAATAGAGCTAGAGGATAAAGCTCCTTGCACTTATGTGCGTATTATCCCAGAATGTATGTTTTCACAAATAGCTTTGCTTGTTCTCTAAGGTGATCTCACTATTGTAAGATAAGCAGTGGAGTGATCTGTGACTTTTGACATGAGAAAATAAAGGAATGGATCTAAGCAACTATTCAAACTACCCAGGCATAAAGCTATGAGATAGATAAAGTATAAACCATCGGTGTTATAACAGTAGTTGGCGTGGTGAATAATAAGTATAATATTGCTTGGAGCAAAGCAAATGGTAAAAAGCATGAGAATGAGGAGACTCGCCTTCACATACCACAACCACCTATTGTTGTATACATTAAGCATCCGAATGAGGGCTGTGTAGCAATAGATAATGACCACAAATGGAATTAAGAATCCAAAGAATGCCAAGGAGATGAAGTAGTAGAGTTGGAAGGGAGATGAAGATGCGCATATGTTGTGGACATCATGGCAGGTGGTGATATCCCTGTGGACAAGATAATACTCCTGCCTCAGGATGAAAAATGGCAGCATGTATAAGAAAACCATTGCCCGCACCAATCCACACGTTATCAAGGCATAGGTACGCCTCGGCAGCCCCGGTAAGTAAAAGGATGGACAGTGGCTAGGTAGCGGCTGAGGCCGATGCAGGCAAGGATCAGAATGAAGCAGTACATGTTGCCATAAAAGGTAACCGTGGTGGCCCGGCACAAGACCTCTCCAAATACCCAGTTGTGCCCATTGAGATGGTAAGCTATTATAAAGGGCAGTGTGGCACAGAAAAAAAAGTCTGCAATGGCCAGGTTGATATAGAAGATGGTCGCTCAGATGGATCTGGTCCTGAAGAGCACCCACAAGGTCACTGTATTGGCTGGCACACCTACTGTGAACACCAGGATGTAGATAGCAGATATCAGTTTGGTAGTTAAGGAGTTGCTCAGATACCCCATGGTAGCATTATTCACATGGAGATTTTAAACACTTTCTTCAGGGCACTTAGTTTTTACAGTTGTGGTTCCTGTCCAGCCTTCTATGGCAGAAAAGGGTGATCTCTTCAAAAGAATTTGGGGAGCTCCATGGAAGGTCTTAGTAAGTAACGTCGGCTCTGCCAGTTTGTCTGCATCATTTTCCGTACCTGTCATTAAAAAGAAGTATTAACATGTGGTATTTTGCTGAGCCATATCTATGGTTAAGAAGACAATGAAACTAAATGTATTATGCTACACAATTTCTGTAGTTGTAAGATTTAGGGTCATTTTTATTTTTAAAATATCATTGTAGATCAAGCAACCAAAGGCATCTCAGGTACCAGTACCATGCTAGCTAATGCAGGAGCAAAAAGTAGATGATAACTCGTTACATGTAAGGAATTTATAATACTGTTGGAGGGAAACAAAATAGCCCACCAGACCATTATAAGCCAATGTCATATTAACTATACACGGTATAGTCGTTCACACAATAGTTAACAGATTTAGGTGTTTGAGCAAAATATCAATGAAAAGATGAATGTAAGCAGAGATAAGTGAGGTTCATAAAGACATGGGATTTAATAGAAGAATAAGATTCTGATAGATGAGGAATGGGCAAAGGCATAGTGTGATCTCTCATGGGATCTAGGAGTGTCAGATAAGTTAATTCAACAGATGTTTATCGCCTATTTTACTGCATAGGGTTTTTAAATAAACTCCAACCCTGTCTTCGACTCTCAGACAAACAGAAAAGTTACACAAAAAAAATTGTCTTATGCTAATAAACTTCATCTGAGAGATAAAGTTGAAAGATTAGGTTACAGCAAAATCTCTGAAAGGCCCCTAACCTGTCCTAGGAAATCATGTGTCCATTGATAGATGCTGGAATTGTACACAAAAAAATTATGAGCAGACGGATGGCCATGCGGTGGACAGCATAATGATACCAAAGATTCTCTCTGCTAATTCCTGGAGCCTGTGAATGTGTTACCTTACGTGGCACAAAGGACTTTGCAGATGTGATTAAGGATCTGGTGATGGGGAGAGTATCCTGGATTGTCCAGGTAGCCATATAACCATAAGAGTCCTTACAACAGGGAGGAAAGAAAGTCGAAGTCAGAGAGAGAGAGATTTGAAGATGCTATGCTGCTGGCTTTGAGGATGAAAGGAGCCATGAACCAAGGAATGCAAGCAGCTTCTAGAAAAAGGGCAAGAAAACATTCTCCTCAGAAGCCTCCAGAGTGAACCCAGCCCTACTATCACGTTGATTTTAGGACTTGTAACTCCCAGAAATATTATATTAATAAATTATTTAAGCCACTAATTTATGGTGATTTGCTATGGCAGCAATAGGAAACTAATATAGCCATGATTTATTTGACTTGTACTTAAGGTGACTTTGGTGTCAGTGTAGAGAATAGACTGAAAAGATAAGAAATTGGAGGTAAGGGGGGCTGATTTGGAGCCTGTTGTTATCATTTTAACTCAGGATGGTAAGTTATGGACCGAGAGCAATAGCAGTGGAAAGGTGAAGATGAACACAGGAAACTCTGACGGAGGGTTAAAGGGCCTTGGTACCCAGCTGCTATGGAGGCAATGTGGAAGGAGGCAAACCTGACTTGGGTGTATCTACTTTAGATGACTTGGAAAATGAGAATGGTCCAAGGGACAGCAACAGAAAGAAGCTAAGATCTCACTTTTGAGTATTCCTGAGTTTGAGTTGCTGGTGGGATATTAGCGTGTAGGAGGTCCCAAGGTGGGTTAGAAGACTTAGATGTAGAGGCCAAAATTTCAGGAGCCCAAATGAAAGGTGTGGATTTCTTGGTCTGCATAGAGGCTGTAGTTTAGTTTAATAGGGGTGGCTGAACAGCCTAGAGAGAGATGTGAGGGGGAACAAAACATCCAAAGGCAGACTTTAGGGGAAATACTAGATTTTAAGAGGAGGGGAGACAAAGGAAGAAAAGTCAGAGGATGAAACCAATAAATGCTATAATTATTTGGCATTACATGGCATTTTGATATTAATAATTCTTGAAAGAGCAGTTTCAAAAACAAAACAAACATCAATACTTTGATAATGACCTGTTTATCGTTATATAATTTTTTCATAAGTTAACTTTTGATGTGTATAGAAATTAGATTATTCAAATTTCCATTAAGATGACCTTTTATGCTGAATTTAAACACACTTGTCAATTTAAAATGCCACTCCTCTGCCAGTTCCTTTTCCCATGACCTCTGAATTCCTACGTGTTGAATACTTGAGGTTAGTGTTCAGTAATCTGGTTCTTATTCAAAAAGCCAGTTTCTCTTCCTGTTTTCATCTCTACCAGTTCACCCCAGGTGAAATTGAAACCTCCTTCATAGCCCTGAGATTGCAGAAACTGAATTCAGTGTGGCACAACGGGGGAGAGTTTTGCCCGAACAAACAGGGGCAGGGAGGTGCTCAGGTGTTACTTAAGGGAAGCTAGATTAAAGAAAAGGAAAAATCTGGAAAGGGGTGGTGGTTTGTGCCTGTGTTTAGATGTGAACTGTGAGGCGTGTGAAGGCATGTTTGTGTGTCGAGTTCAGCCACACAAAGCCTTTTGCGCACTTTTGTGTTTTGGAAAATTCTTGTACCTGACATTCCCCTAAATAGAAGTGCTTCCAAGATTGGCAGGAAGCTGGAAGATGGTGGCTGAAGACCCTGCTGCGTGGGTTGTGATGAGAGAGCTGTCGAAACCAGGTGTTTGTCAGTTTTCAGAAAATCCCTGATCCCTGTGTTGAGCAAGACATCATGCCAAAAAAACATGCTAAACATTGACTCTGAAAAAGCCTTGATTCCATTTACCATGAGAATCCCAGCTGATTGATTCAGTGTGAGCAAGTCTTTTATCCTCTACATCCTGGCTTTCCATAAGAACAGCACTCACTTCTCACTGTTAAATTTCTTTTTTAATCTATTGGATTCTTTGTACAGGTTTCCATGTAGCATAATGATTCTAAAATGTTTTCCAACCCAACAAAAGGCCTTAAGGAGGCTCAGGTCCAGAGGGAGCGGACTTCAGCCACTTCACATTTCTCCCCCACCCTATGGAAGACTGTAAAGTCACTGCCTCCAAACTCCACCAGCATCTTGAAGGAACTACGTCCACCCACAAGCATTGCTTCTTTTGCTGCTCTGCTGCATTTTGGTTCATCCACTCCAGAAATAGCATTCGCTTCATCCTATTCCTAAATTCCACCTGCTGCTATCCATGGGTTCTCTGAGTGCTCTTTTCTGTGATTCTAGCTGTCAGTTCTACAACACTCCTTTACAGAGGTTTGGGTTTGTTTGTTTGTTTTTTAATTTTGTTTCCTGCCCCCCCCATCATTGTTCTGTCCAGCTCTCCCGCCCTTACCGCGTTGACAGGCGTGTAACCTAACAGTAAGTTATAGATGCAGATCTAGCCCAACTTGGTTAATTTTGGAGCAAGCAGAAAGTTCCAGGCTAACATTGTGTTCAGTACAATAGGAAACACATTATGAATTGAATGATAGTATTTGGGAGATTTCATTTCTAAAATTTAAAAATCATATATGAGGGTAGGGAGAATCAAATCCCTGGCATCACTGAAAGTCAAAAAAGGTATTTCATTAAGAAATGCTAATTCATTAGCATTGCTGACTATTGAAAGCAGACCACTTGGTCTCTCTGAGAATGTCCTTGTTTTCCCCCTTTATGCCTCACCAGAAGGTATAAACATAGGATTTTTAAAATCTTTTTAAAAAGTTCTACCTTTGCTGAATCAGAAGAAATGCTTAGAAAATCAAAAACCTCTCACAAAGAAAATTGACTCCTGAATTAATGGTAGGGGTCTAAAATCTTGACTGTGCCACAAATTTTTACATATAAGTAGAGAACACTTAGTCTTTGACAAGGTTTAAAGAAAGTGAATGAACTATAGCTGTTTACTTCCATGGTGCCACCTTTTAATACCTAAGATCAAACTGCCATTTGGGTGGCAATTTGTGAGAAATGTGAAGAGAATCAGATTCAGTAGCACAAAGCAACACCTCCACCCGTAAGAAAAGAGCTTAGCACTTTGACAAAAAGTCAAAAGCCTTTTCCTGGAAAGGCTGTGACAGCACTCTTGTATCAGTGTGCATGGCTCAGACCGAGCCTCTGAACGCAGGATGTTGCCCCTGGAGAGAGTTGTTTAACTCTTACCCACCCGTAATAGTCCATTCTGAATAGATGCTGTAAATCCCTCCCACACACTTATGTGCATGGAAAGAATGCAGATAGTGTACAGTCCTGTGCAGAAGTTAGCTGCAAATAGATGCTGCCCAGTAGTTAGTTTTGACTCTCTCATATTTTCTCCATTTTAAACATGGGATTCCAGAATGAACTTTCTACATAATAATTAGCTTCTACTTAATAATTAAAATCAGAAATTATCCTTTTCTTTAGCTTCCCACCTATTTGAAATCCAGATTCTTAAACTCATTACATAACTATAAATTAAATCATCAAAGGCAAACATTTGTATGAAGTTAAAATTAATTGCTTGATTATTCTGAAATTTTTCCATCAAAGTCACTTTGGCCTGAATTTGTCATCAGTGCTCGGCCAGAACTTTTGCCATAGCCCATCATATTTTGAGCCATTCAATAGGATCAGATAATAAGGGTAGGGGTTAGAGGGGGGCGGCCATACAACACTATTTGATTAAACTAAAATCATAATACAACGTTGAAATGCAGAGGACTTCCTTAACTCCAGGGGGATTGGTGAGAAAGTCAACAATAAGCTTTTTTTTTTTTTTTAAGAAAATTGTGGCAAAATATACATAACATAAAATTTACCATTTTAACCATTATTAACTGTTAATACATTATTAACACAACTCAGTATTAAGTACATTCACATTGTTGTGTAACATATAAGCTTTTATGAGTAACATTATGGAGGATATGATTTAATATGTAGAAAAAGTACTGCTTGGAACAGATTTTTCTATAACTTACAAAAATTTAAGGTGAAACACTAAGCAAGACAACCCAACAGCCTATTGCTTATAAAATGCAGCAAGGATCAGAAAATACACATTTCACATGGTACTTAAAGGCCGGAGGAATAAGCTAGGAATGAATTGGTCTCTGCAAACTTTTCACATCTTGATTAAATTTCACCACACCAAGTTTTACAA